CCATTCTAAAGGATTATTAGTGATAGTGTTTCCTGGGAAAGAGGAAAGGAGTAGAGCTGGCTTTTATGGGCCCAAAGATGCAGATTTAGGCTCATAATTCTAAGGAAAGGCTGAACATTTTACTGAATTAACAAAGCAAAAATGCAATTCCTTTGTTCCACCACCATAGCAGAAACAAAAATAAAACTTTTCAGTCAGCCAACCTGAGTTCAAATCTTAGCATTACCGCTTATTAATTGCATGCTCTTGGGTTAAGTGACTTAACGTCTTAGGGCAGTGGTAATGAATCTATGGCACACAGTCCTCAGTGGGCTTTTTGTATCATCGAAAGCTCTAAAAGGTTCACCATCACTGTCTCAGGGCCTTAAATGCTTCATATGACAAGTATTTTTTTTTTTTTGTGAGACGAAAGGTAATAATAGGTTAATATCATACATTACATAAATAATACACTGTACAAACAAAACTATGCTTGGGTCACAATTGGTACTTAAAATTTTTTCCTCTCTTTGCCAGTTCATGTTCATGTTTACATGGTATAAACACTGTAAACTATCTTCTTTTTTCTGTATCTGGTTGATATACGTGAAAATTTATCTACAAACTTGAGCTTGTAGATTTGTGCTCAAAAATTAAAATATGGCCATAGTTCTCTCACTCATGTACTTTGTAACTGTGGGAGATCATGGAACCAGATAGCTGAAAGGGATTTTTATATCTTCCTTCAAATCTTAATCAAGTCCATGACTTTTTCCATTTACAAAATGAAATAATTCATAGAACAAACATACACCTAAAAATAACTTGAGCAAGTTCAAAATAAATTAAAAAAAAAAATGAATTTGGTTGCTAAGGGAAACAGATTCTGCAGCTTTGGAGCAGTAGTAATTTAAAACATTTCAAGCTACTTTAAGTAATTAGTTTGCTGTGATTAAGAGAGAATCATTGAATTTTAGAGCAAGCAGAGACTGCAGAATGTTTCAGTTGTTTACAATTAAGGCCTGTCCTGCCTACCTACCTGTAACCCTTTCCCCAGATGTGTTTAGAAACCTGGACCAGGGTATAATTGATATATAATAAAGTGTACAGTTTGTTAATTTTCACATGTTTATTATACCTGTGAAACCCTGGATAAAAAAAATGCCCAACTTATCCATTATCCTGTGGGGCTTACTGATTGCTCTGGTATGTAGGAGGGTTTCTTGGGAGAGCCCAGGGATGACAGATCTCCTGAAATGTGCAGCTGGGTACAAAAAGTGCCGCATTCCTTTGCTAAACTCATGAAGAAACGGAGTCCAGTAAGGACAGTGAGGCAAGATCAACATCACTGTCTTTTATGTTCACGTTAACAGAAGGTCTTTTAAATAAGAACTTTAGTGTTTACTGAAATTCTGAATTCAACGTTTATTGTCAACTGACACTTACAAGCTGTAGACACTCTAAAGTGATGCATTTTCACTGTGATAGTGGACGTGTCTAAGTAATGGGGAGTCAGCAACCCCCTCCTCATTCAGTGGTCAGTCCGCTGCTGCCACCATGGACGGTGGGATGGAGAACAAGGTCACAAGTTTAGAACTTTGGCTTTCTGTTCCTGAAGACAAGGTGAAGGTGTCATCACATTCTCTCTGTTTCTTTCTCTCTTTTATTTTATTCTTTCTTTTTTGTGGTCCTGCAGATGAAACCCAAGGCCTCTTGCATGCTAGGCAAAAGCTGTACCACTGAGCTATGTCATTAGCCCTTTTCAATTTTTTTATTTTGAGACCGAATCTTGCTAAACTGCTCAGGCTAACCTCAAACTTGTGATTCTCTTGGCTCAGTCTTCCAAGTAGCTGGGATTACAGGCAGATCCCACCATGCTCAGCAATATTCTCTATCATAAAGACACAGTAGGCTTATAATATATCACCCATGAACAAAAGGGGTGCACAGTGACTCCTCCATCTCCAACAATTCCACATCCATGGATTCAACCAACTGGGGATTGAAAATATTTGGAAAAATTTCATCTGTACTGTACATGCATCAACTTTTTTGGTCATTGTACTCTAAACAATACAGAATAACACCTATTTACATGGCATCTACACTGTGTTAGGTATCATAAGTAATCTAGGGATGATTTAAAGTATAGGAAGATGGGTATCAGTTACTGTACACGCAAATACTATGCCATTTTATACAAGGGACTGGAGTGTTGGTAAATTTTCTTATCCTCAGGGGTCTTGGAACCAATCCACTGTGGATACTGAGGGACAACTGTCCTCAGAAAATGTCTTCAAGTTGTTAACTGATGAGGACCTTTTGGAAGCAGTTCTGGAAATCCTTTCCCTTGAGGGGCTTATTTGCACTACTGTGGCTTGCCTCCATATCCTGAATTGATTCAAAATGTTTATCTTTCATGGTCATCTTCACTTGGAGAAGAGCCAGAAGTTACATGGTGCCAGATCTAGAGAGTAAGACGGATGAGGACACACTGTAATGGTTTACAGTCTTGCCTTTCCTAGTGCTGCTCAACAGCAGCATTCACTGTATTTTTGATCACACCTTGGAAAGACACTCAAAAAAAGGATTTCTAGAACTGCTTCACAAAGTGGCAAAAATGGTGGGATAAGTGTGTTTGAAGCAAGGGAGACTATTTTGAGGAGAGATTAATAGCAATGTGTATTTTACTGTCACAGATGTTGAAATTGCAACACTTACTCTATTTTTCAATTACCCTTTGTAGTTGCTAATAGATGTAATTTTAATATTTAAGATATCAATTTAAAATAATTTGACATTTTCTTAATTGTGTGAATCATGTAATAACTTCAAGAACAAAATTTGATATCTATCAGAAAGATTGCATTCTAAAATGAAAAGTAATATGCAAGGCCAGTGGTTCTCAAACTTATATGGGCTTAGAATCCACTGCTTATGTAAGATTCCTGGGTCCCACTCACAGAGCTGCTAAGTCACACTGACAGAGCTGCCTGGGGTGGAGCCCAAGAATCTGCGTATCTAGTAAGTTTCCAGTGATGCTGATGCTGCAGTTCTGGGGCCTTGCATTTCCCAAGTGCCCGTCGTGCTGCCTGGATTCTGACAATAGAAGCGATGAGCAAGGAGCAGCTGGACCTTTTAGGAGCGCCTTTGTGAAAGGAGGGAGCACCCCACCTTCAGTTGTAACTGCCCACAAAACCCTGAACTCACACTTGGCACCCTCCCGCTGTAGTCCTTCATGCTTTTTATTCATTATAACCAAAGGGAAAAAATAATTTTGAAATGGTGGGGCACAGGACTCAGAAGCCCATGAGAGCTAGAAGATCCTGCAGACACATTTGCAGGAATAATAAGCCTAAAATAGTCATAGCAAAAGATAATGATGAACTCGTGAGCTCAAGTCTTTCAATAGAAACAAATGTCATTAATGCACTTTATCTTGGAATGATAAATGGACTGTTAAAAACAAACAGAAATTTTCCAACTACAGAAAGAAGAGCAGTGCTGTAAGCAAGGCCTGCCTCCTCAGCCCTGGGGTTGCCATTTTCTGTCTAAATCTCGTTCTCACTGCTGCTACAAGATCCTTACGGAAGTAAACTTGAAAACTCTGCATGGCCCAATTTTATTCTATAGCTAAGGGCATTTAAAGGAAAACTAGGCTATCTGGGTTCATACCTGATTTTTAAAATTTATGGGGCCCTTTGAGACTATGTGGGGAATTACCTAAACATAAGTGACACCACAACAAAGAGATAATGTGTGCCTACGATTCTCCCCAAGATTTTTTAAAAATAAGGCAAGGAGAGCACCACAGAGTAAGAGAGACACCCTAGCTATTCTCACTCAGGTCCATTAATACATAACAAAAATGGCTTATTTTGAAAAGAAAGAATGATTGTAAATACAAATGTATCTGAAAAGTTAATCCTCATAGCTTCAAAGAAAAAATGATTTCTGCCAAGTCCCCAAATGGAATACTTTCATTTTCATTTTGTAATTATTTTTTAAAAAAAATCCTCTCACAACAACCACGGTTAATTTCCTCTCACCTTGTCTGTAATTCAGTGTTGCCTGAATTGTTCTTGTGCTATTTTGTAAATGGATGTCTGTTTGTTAATTTGTTTTTGTTCCTTTATTTTTAAAATAAAATTGAAAAAGACAGACAAATCCTGTCAATTATGGCAACATTTCCAATTTAATTATGATTGCTTTCTTTTCTTCCATGTTAAGGTGATAACAACTTTTAAAATTTTTACTTATTGGGCTGGGGATTTAGCTCAGCGGCAAAAGCACCTGCCCGGCAAGCGCAAGGTCGTGAGTTCGGTTCCCGGTACCGCAGGGAAAAAAAAATTTTTTTTACTTATTTTATTAAGGTAAAATACACATAGAATAGCTACACTTTAAGGATATAGTTTTGGGGCATTAAGTACATTCATATTGCTGTGTAATCATCACCACTATCCATATGTAGATGCATTTGTCTCAACACAATTGATTTTTTTCCTCTCCAGACTGATATATATAGAAGTGACATATATGGGTAACTAGTGTTTTTGCAAACAGAATGTCAAAACAGCATGTATGCTTTTTTTGTATGTTTTTCTAGAGGAAAGTTAAGTCAAAGTCATGGCAAAGGGGATTTCAAGACTGAACTCAGAAGGAAGGCTTTTTTAAGTTATGAATAGCAAAACATGGCACCACCTGCTGCTTTGCGGAAGCTCCCTTTCTCTAAACCCATGGAAGACATTTTCTGTGATCACCACATCCTTTTCCACTGAATCTCAGAATCGTTCTCTACGTGGTCTGCCATGTGTTCATCACAACTAATTACAACTGGCCCCAGAAGAATTCCACTTACCATCTCCAAATGAAAAACATAAGCCATCCTGTTGCAACAAGAAGAACCATTGGGCAGAGACCACATGTACAAATGCACATGTGGTAGAAAAGTCCTTCAACGTGGGGATGTCATAATGAAGGTTTCTTAGCACAGAAATGGTCACAAATACAAATGTTTTTACCTGGGTAGGAACACACTTTCCACCACATAAAAGTCTTGCATAAGAACATCTCGTTCTGGCTTGGAAGTGAGATTCCCCACTGTGTATCCTATTCCCAGCTGAATAGCACCTTTAATAGCAGATGATGCAGTCTGCAAAGAAAACGAGGGTCTCCGTGTTAGTCTCCACCATCATGGTCTTGTTCGGTATCACAAACAGCAAAATGTTTTCCTTTTTGTCCCTACACACAAGGAGGGTAAGGTTTGGAAAATGACACGTTGCTCCAGGAATGGGAGATTAAACCCAGGACTTACATGCGCTAGGCAAGCATTTTACTACCGAGCCACACTCCCAGTCTTACTAAGTTGTTTTGTTTGACAGAAGATCTTTTCCAACTGTTATGACGTTTTGGTTGTTTTTAAGATCACATTAGAACCCAAAATAGCCATCTTTCCTTAATTAGGAGCACAGAAACTTGGTGGAACACATTCAATATACAGCATTATAATTTCTGCCCAAAGATAAAATTTTTAAGTCATATTTAAACAATAGTTTTTAGAACATACCTATGGATCAGGAAGATTTTTTTCCCCTAAGAAATGAGAGAGCAAAAAAATTGGGTCTTTTGCTGTAAACAAAAAATTTAATCTGGAAATTGCACCAGTCTTGCTAAAGATCAGTAATCAAAGCTTCCCACACTGACCTGTGATAAAACTAGCACAGGGACAACAGTATCCCCAATTTATTACTTTTCTAATATTACTCACAATTAAATTGACAGAATGTCAGCTTGAAGAATAACAATCGTGTGTGTGTGTGTGTGTGTGTGTGTGTGTTTGTGTGTGTGTATATACACATGGGCATGTATAGAAACATACATGTATAAGTGTTAGTAGAGATAATAGAATAACAATTTATAATGTATTCTTAATGGTGAAAATATGTCATATTTTTAACGCCTTATAGAGTCTAACGTAGTGGCATGTGCTGAGTGGGCACAAATAAATACTTAAATCAGGGGTTCTTAACTAGAGATATTTGACCGCATCTGAAGACATCTGACGTCCAGCGCTACTCACTTTAAGTGGATAGAAGCAGCGATGGTGCTGAACACCCTACAGTGTGCAGGATGGCCCTCACTACAAAGCATTATCCAGCCCCAAATGTCGGTAGTGCAAAGGTTGAGGAATCCTCAGTTAATATAATAAATATCATCCACTTTATAGAAAATATACTTTCTTTTGAATTACTGTTTGCACTTAGCAAACCCAAGACCTGTACCCACTTCCCTTCATGCTTTATTCTTTATTTCTTCTTGCTTTCAACACCAAAGAACACTTCTTGAAAAATTTTCTCCTCTGGATTTCTACAGCAGGACACAATCCTCGAACCATTTCCAACTTTTTTGATGGTCTCTCCTGTCATTTCTTCACTGATTTCTCATATTCTGCTCGCTATGACTGCAAAGTCCCTAAAATTTCTATCTTAATTATTTGGGTACTCAATCCATTCTTAATGGCTTTCAAATGCTGTCTGTGCCCCTGACTCTTGGTTTTTTTTCAATGTATTTGGATGCTGCTCTGTTGCCACATATGTAGTATGTGCAGAACCAGACTAGTATCTTACACCCTCTCCACCCTACTTTCAAGACTAGCTTTCTGCCTCCAGGCACCTTTAGTCACTCAAGCTTGAAGCCCAAACAGACTGCACTGTAGCACAGGCCTCGGTCCCTAAAATCAACTTGTTGACTTTGTCTGAAATGACCATGCTCTGTCACGACTGATCAGTCGTCTCTAAAAGCAGCGACCTAATACAACCACATTCCCACAGTTAGCATTTAATCACCTGGCTGACTGCACAGAAAACACTATGTAACCCTTATTTGGAAGAAAACTACCTCTAGTCTCAATCCTGCAGAAAGCAGCAAGATATCTTGATATTATTCTCTTTCCACATTCCTTTTTTCTTAAGATCCCATGGCAGCAAGATACAAAAAATTGAGATTAAGTGCATCTAGCTCTTTAAAAAAGCTTGCTATTTTAATATTCCATCTCTGACTTCAGCAAGGCCACTGATGGGCGTCAGTGACCTTTTGTACCAGCAGCTCTGAATTCTGAAGGCAGAAATGGACTTTTCTCATTTTAACCCTGCCTAAGAATTCAAAAGACACACTTTCCCATCCATCACTCAGGATGGGTAATGCGCAAGACGTGACACTAGCACTTTACAGAGGACCCAGCACCCCCAAACATTCTGTGCCAGCCCTATCAACACACTCACATGCTCTCAAAGTACTCTGGCCTCCCTGACCCTCCATTCCTGACACTCTGCCTTCTGGAACTACCTGTATTTCTGCTTAACTCACGCAATCACTGTGATAACAGCTGTTTTGCATGTCTTGAGCTGGGAACAGCCTGTCAAATACACTACCCAATTCTTTATCTGCCCCACCCTGGCAAAAGGAGGCAGTCAAGATTGTGGGGAGCCTGCACCTGCTGTTCTCAGACTTTAGGGAACAAGAGACTCACTGGGGATGCTTGCCAACGGAGATGGCACACAGATCATGTCCCTAGGATATCTGATGCAGAAGGCCTGGAGCAAGGCCAAATAATTTGCTCTTGCTCTAAGGAACACTGAAAAAAACCCAATTTTTCCTATGTTTTAAGATTAAATTTTGAATTCTTCGACTTAGACTTTGGAAAGGACTCCTTAACACCTGTTTAGCTAAGTCAAAAATACAGACCTGCAATCGTATTATTTTCCTTTTAGGCTCCTAAAAATTCAAGGGCTTGGATGGGAGAAATAACAGAAGTAGTAATAAAGTTAATGTCTGTTGATCAACTAATGCATGCCAGACATTTGATATATGGATAACATCAATTATAATCATGATCTGTCACAACGACAGCCCATACTTACATGCTTATTAAATGGCAAGCTCTGTTCTAAGCACCTTCTGGTTACCTTATCAGCGATGATGAACCTTTTAGCTTTGGATGATAACAAATAGCTAGGAGCGGCATGCGTGCCATAGGTTTGCCACCACTGCTTCTTTGTCCTCACCATGACCCAGTGAGGTAGGTACTACAAGTTGTGCCACCCTAATCTGAAAATCTGAAATTCAAAAACTCATCCAAACTAGGAAACTTTTTGAACACTGCTGACATGATCTCAGGACATTCTACACCTGACCTCACATCATGGGTCATGATAAAGAAATCAAACTGCGCCCAGCACAGATTATTCAGGATCCCCGAAGGAAAAAAAAGACTCTTTCAGATATGTCAGTTTGATGTACAAACTTTGTTTCATACACAAAATTGTTAAAATACTGTGTAAAATGACCATCAGGTTACGAGTATAAGGTGTCCATGAAACAAATGAATTCTGTCTTAAGATTTGGGTTCCATTCCCAATATATACATATATATGCAAATATCCCAAAACTCAAAAAGTCCTGAAAGGGGCTGGGGATTTAGCTCAGCGGCAAAAGCACCTGCTTGGCAAGCGCAAGGTCGTGAGTTCGGTTCCCAGTACCGAAGAAAAACCAAAACCAAACCAAACCAAAACAAAACAAAACAAAAAAACCAAAAAGTCCTGAAATCTAAAACAGGTCTGGTTCCAAGAATCTGAGGAAGGGATACCCAACCCGCATTCCTGTCCCCATGTGACTGGCTCAGGAAGGGTTGGCAACTTCTACAAGGGCCACGGCTGGTGAGGAGGCAGAGCCAGGACACGCACCCAGTGGGGCTGGTGTTACAAACAAGCACGATGTGCTGCCTCTGACCTCAGCGTTTCTTAACTCACTTAATCCTTACAAGAATCTAAAGTATAGTGACAATTATTCTTGGTTTACAGGTAGGGACTTTATCTCAACCAAGTTAGGGGACTTGCCCAAGTCACACTGCTGGTGTGTCAGAGTCTGGCTTTCAGGCCCAGGTTGCTTCTGCATCTGTTTTTTAAAAATGAGCCAAGAACCAAAGTTGGAAGTTCTCATTTAAGCCTGGGTGTCTGGTATTGCACAGGAAGAATCTCTGAGAAAGCCATTTCTTTTGAAGAAATGGGGATTAAATGTTTTATTTGCTTCTAATCATACCCAAGCAAGGGCAAGCCAGAGAAAAGCTCATAAACCTCTTGGTGAACCAGAACAAACACTACTGTTAACATCACTGTTGGTAACATGGTGAGTTATTAATAGAAGGTGGTATTTTGTGGCCCAAGTAGGGATGACTCCTCAAAGCTTCCTCTTCCTCGTCTCTGAATAAAAAGTAAATGCTTATCACAGATGCACTAGGGTATAATTACAAAGCATCCTGTCTGCTTCATGCAAATGTCTGGTGATACTCACTGTGGCCCTTGGTTTCACAAGCCATGGGCAGAAAAGGCCTCAGTCACCTGATATGTTCTCATTGGACATCAACCCTGGCCTAATGTTGAGCAAGATGTGCTTTAAAACTATGAAAAAACATTTTGAAATGCTACCTGGACAGCCTCTGATTAGCAGATCTGTAAATCCAGATGGTGACAAAGAACACTCTGTGTGAGGTGTTGGTGGCTGCTCTTCCAGAACCAATTGTTCCTTCCCTGAAAAACCTAAGTCCCCAGGACTCCCTCTTCCTCTGGGACCAAGAGATGAACCGCAAGACTGCAGTGGGATGATGCTTTGTACACTTTGATCCCCTCCAATTCTCTCTGCATGGCCTTGCAAAAGGTCCTGGGACCTGGCTGCTCTCCCTTATAATTACAAAAGGTGCTTTTGGCTCTACTAGGGGTTTAATAAGCATCTACTTTGCAGATCCCTGCCAGTCTATTTTTTATTTTTTTTATTTTTAAAATTATAAAACTGACAAAACAACAATGGAGACAAAATCGAAACAACACAAAAACAACAAAAATGATATAGGACCTCAAGACAAAATGATAGGAATTTACAGTGGTTGCTAAATTACATACTGTTATCTTCAAAAAAGTTGCTCAGTCCATTAGACATAAGAATGTAAGACTGATTAAACAATCAAAGACAGTAACAAGTAGAAAAAAATAAAAATAATTAAAAAAACCACTGGAAATGATGCAAAGCTTCACCATACAAAATGGTAGGAGTTCAACAATGGTTCTTATACTGCACCTTGTTTTCAGATTAGTCATTCTA